ATGCTACGTACAAAACATAAGTGCATGCCTGATTTCCATGAGGTTTTGGCAATGCAGGAAACATTAGTCATCGTGAAAATTACCTGCTGTGCATGCGTTGTGCAAAATGCAGAGCATAACATATAAGCTGAAGGAGCTTTTTGTTCCAAGGATTTATAATAAAAACTATGAAACCAGCTTTGTCCTCACATTAATAGTATATTACTAAAAAATGAGACAAAAATGATCAGAGATGTGCATTAAATTTAGTTCTGAGTGACTGCATGCACACCATTCATTCACTATTCTCCACCTGAAATGCTCATCAGTTCTTTTCCTTCTCATCAACACTTTTCATTTATGGTAGAGAGAGAACATGAATGTTTGACCTTGACTGACGGACGCATTTGCAACACTGCAACGTGACTTTTGTCTCTCTGCAGGTTTGGAGCAACAACATGGAAAACAGACTTGAGTGTACCACTGTGTTAGATAACTTAATGAGCCTGATGCATCCTTTGTGAAAATGTATTTACCTTGGATTTTTAATGTCCAAGTGCAACTCAGTGGTGTATGTGCTGATTATTAAGGCTCTCATGGAAATAAAAAATGCACTTCCTGTGATGTTATCTTGTGTCTTTGGATATGTGTAATTATCTACTGTAACATATGTAACAAAATGCATATTTCTGTATTTCTAAATTAAAATCTAGTGCTTTTCTCCTCCAGTAAAATCTGATCACATTTGAGGGTGCTCCGGCCAACCCCCCCAACTGAAGAAAACCCGTAGCTGTCTCTTTTAAAACTTGAAAAAGCAGATAAAATGTACTTTTAACTGAGATGATCTAAATGCTAATATATTTAATATTCAAATCGAGTCCCCCCCTGGTGTTTAATTCCATCGCAGCATCCTGTTTCATGTGGAAAAACATCAAATCACATAAGAAAATCACAATGTTAAGAGCATTTGATGAGACCATGCTGACCAATACCAACATTCACTAATTACATTGTTTGCATTGGTCCTACCTCCCTTCTGCAAGACACACTTTTATGGAAAATAAATCATTTCATACATAAATAACAAAACATCAAACAAACAAATAGTTACAGCAAGTTCAAAGTAAAAAAAAATAATAATAAAACAACTCCATAATTAGGTTTGAAAATAACTTTTCCAATCACAACAAAGGCTTTAAAAGGGCAATTTTCAAACACTCAGATTTGGGGCACTTGTGGTAGCAATCCCCAAATGTCAATATCTTTCTTTTATGTGAGGAACAGCTACAGGCGGGACATTGTTGTTGCCACATGCCATGTTAATTGCATATGTGTATTTGAATTTAGTAGAAATATTTTAAAGAATGGTTAATAGTACTGCCCGCAAAAATCTTCCATCTGGATATCGGATTCATATTGCCAGTGTCCAGATTGTACATGTTTTCTCCTTATGTAAGCTAGCTAGGTAACATCTGTTGAATACTGTCACAAAGAACGACAAAAAGTAATATTTTAAATTTACCATCCTGCTTTCATCCACTAACATTACATCCTTTTTGCCGTCTACCACCTGATTACATGTGAATGCAGCACAAGTCTCCTACTTTTAAATCCTCAGTCAGTTTCACTACATTAGTGAGCAATCTGCTAAAACAACACCAGCAAGTTTCATATTAAATTCCACATGTCTGCTTAACACCTTAATCTGTATCAGCATGAGGCCCGCTGAAACACTGTGGAGACCTTTCAGTTATTGAATTGAATAGATGCTTTCAAATTTCTTTTAAAATGACTGCACATGCAATCAGTTCAAGGACTGCCAGTACCAGAGTCAAGTTGTTTTTCAAAGTTTAGAGTGCTTCAGGAAAAGAGGTGTAGCATTTAAATGCTGCAACAAAAAAAGAAGAAGATCATACTAAAGTATTCTAAAGAAATACATGTATAAGAGTGATCATTTGCAACTTACAGTCTTAACTTAATGCCTGCTGATGTCAAGTTATCATAAAGGGTTGTCAATGGTGCTACGATTTTTAATCAAAGATTCTATAACATAGAGGAAAACCAAATAAGTAAATAAATTGTTTCTATGTGATTAGCAGACTGACATTCACAGAATAATCTTTGTGATAAAAAGTGGAATCATGAAATAAAACACTATTAATTTTTCCCACAATTTCCCACATGGCTATAATATATATATATATATATATATATATATATATGTATAGTCTGTAGTATCTAAAAAGGAAGTTCAATTTAGTTCATTTACTATAAAGCCAAAGACTACGACAAGAAAGATCAAAACCCAATCATTAAAAATAAAATATGAAATAAAATATAAGATAACTTTAAAAATAACTCAAGACAGAAAAAAGTACAAGTTCCCCTGAACTGTCTATAGTAGTTTGACTGCAGTGAGATGAACAGAGACATTGTTCCAATTACTACCTATTCTAGACAGCCTATAACAAGTACCCAGAAGCAAGAACAGCAAACTTAGAGTACAAAGGGTGATTACAGACTGAAAGGGGTGGCAGGAGCTTTCTGTAAAGCTCGCCTGTCGAGCAGATCATTGAATCTCCTCTAACTCCTGTAATCTTCCCATTCTGACTGACAATGCCTTTTATTGAATTCTTGTACCTGGCACCAAGATTGGCAAAATGTCGAGTCATGGAAAACATTAGCGTATGTACAGTATGAGCTATATTATCAGTGTAATATGCTTGTGATCTATACTTGCATCTAAAAGCACGACTGATTTTACAAAAAACACTAAACCACAGCTAATTTGATGACAAGACGAGGATATGCTGCCAGGTTCTTTTGATTATTTTTTTTTTTTTAGAAGAAGCAATGACTTTACTCCAAAAATTTTGGTGCAGCATTCAATTCTGTGAAATGGAAAATACCTTTAATGTGTTGTTACCTGGTGTTCCTGGGTGTATCTTTCGACTCCATCATTTCATGCCAAATAATGATGCCTACTATTGCACAGAAAGTGGTTGGAAAACAAAATAAACATTTAATGAAAGGCTTCTACTAGTTTGGTCTGCGAAGGAAAAATGTGGTTTGGCTCGGCATACACATATAGATACATATATATATATAGTATGTATATATCAGCCATAACATTATAACCACCTGGGCCTGTCCCCGGTTCACTGCTTTTCCTTCCTTGGACCACTTTTGGTAGGTACTGACCACTGCAGAATGGGAACACCCCACAAGAGCTGCTGTTTTGGAGATGCTCTGACCCAGTCGTCTAGCCATCACAATGTGGCCCTTATTAAAATCGCTCAAATCCTTACGCTGCCCTTTCACGCTGCCCATTTTTCCTGCTTCTAACACATCAACTTTGAGGACAAAATGTTCACTTGCTGCCTAATATATCCCACCCACTGACAGGTGCCATGATAACCAGATAATCAGTGTTATTCACTTTACCTGTCAGTGCTCATAATGTTATAGCTAATCGGTGTACATGCCTGCCTATATATGCAGGCTCAGTCCTGCACACCCAGCTCCCCCGATCTGTAATGGAACCTCTGCTTATAAACCTCCTAAGTATTACACTGGGGCGGAAAGTGCGAGGGAATAATGGTGGAATGTGACAAGTAATCTTACCTTAAGACTAGAGTTTTATCGCCTCTGTGAAGTTGCTGCCTGACTGATTGCCTCTGGCTGTGTGCCCCAGAGCTCGGTGTTCTAATGAGCAAAGAAATACAAGAGGTGTGATACATGCAGAAAGCCCAAACATTAACTGTAGATACGAGAGTTAAAGTTTGCCAAGATTAAGACTTCTCACTGTATGTGGGAAATATGGGTGGAATGGAATCACTGAAGAACCATACAGGTCGCATTATAGCCATATAAAACTCACATGAATACAAGAGATTTGCTAATTCTTACAGTGCAGGGGTATAGTTTAACTCACATCTTCATAATCTTAAACAGAATTAATTCAACTGCATGTACAACATTATTATACTGTATATAGCCTACTGCATATGTAATTTAGTATATTTTATCACACAATTAACATCAAAATCTTATTATTTTTTAGTACATCTAGCATTTCACAACTGTGAAACTTTAAGACACAAGCATGACACATACATACTTTGCTAATAAACTAATCAATGTATGGCTGCAAGTCGTCAGAGATCAGTTTATCGTTTTCTAGTCAGAAGATGGTGAAAAAATGTCCATCACAGTTTCTCAGAGCAAATTAAATCTTAAGATATTTATTTTTTATGACATAAAACAGAGAAAAGTTGCAAATTTAAATACTTTAGCCAGCTGAAATATGGCAGAGGACTGCTGCTATTACCTTTTTCATCTGACTTTCACTTACAAGAAAAAACATATATTTGCACCTGAAAGAGAAAACAGAAAAATCCATATGCATTCATCTCTAGAATTCAGAGCAAACAATCAAAGTCTAGTCAAGAGAGGGAAAAAAAAACAGGAAATTGGTTTTAAAATGTTTTTTGATGTACATAAAAATGAGCCATCTTAATAGAGAGGACAGGCTGTTGCAAAACAAGAGTTTTATATTTTGTTGTGCTGAATTGAAATTGAGAAAACAATAGCTTTAACCTTAGGGCATACTAGCTTTAAATTTGCTGGAGAAAGTTATATAATAAAAAATAAAGCGAAGACACTAAAGTGACTGTGTGATAGTTTGACAAAAAAATGAATTTATTCCAAGACACCTGGCAGACAGAACGTCTTGAGAAGGAGCAACTCCACTAAATGTGAAATAAAATGCCTTACCCACTCTGTGCAGTAGGTATTCTGGCATCCCATGGTCTCAGTTAAAGAATGGACGTGTGAAAGGCTCAACAAATGTAAGCCTGCAGCTGACAGCTACACTCAAAGTGAAAGACGTGACCGAGTGAAAAGAAGGACAAGACAATAAAACAGCATGTAGAAAGTTGAACTAAAGCGACTTTCAAACTCGGACCCAATGAATCAGTGGACAAACACGCCAATGTGCAAACATTAAAGTCAGAGTCGCATTACAATTTGTGCAAATGTTTAATCGTTTGTCTTGGCATGAGGCAATATTCAGTACAAATAGGATTCATTATTCTTTGCAACGGGCATGATAGTAATGTGAGGACTTAGCACAGCATACAAATTATGTCAAGCTCTCAAAGTAAACCGGAGTGCCTGTGAGGGGCGAATTGAAGAAGTATTTACATTCTGAAGTAAGTGCCAAGTAATGTAAGCTAAGCATGAGTAATGAGCATTGGGATTTTTAATTGTTGGACACTTACAACGGCTCAATGTTTTACAGTACAGCACAGAATGTTGAAAATAATAAGAATGTAGCTATTAATAACTCTTTGCATTTAGATCTACATATTCCTGAGTGAAAATTGCACATAAAACATTCATGAGTGACATTTTACAGTATACAGAGATATACAGTATATTTGCAACATATTACAGCTATGACAATAAACCTCTTGAATCTTGAATGACCGTTTAAGTGTAATTCAAACATGAATGACAAATTGCCATTTTACATCATTTGTTGCTCTTTTTCTATTATCAATAACTGATATAAATGGCAGTTAACCAGTAATATAATTGACCATTTGCTAAACAATCATAGCTTAGCAATCTGCTGTAGGTACCTGTTAAGCTCTGGTTATACGAAGCATGGGGCAGTAGAAAGAGCAATATTTGGCATATAAAGAGTTTGGAGGTTTGTGGATGTTTTTTTTTTTTGTCAAATCTTTCCAAATTCACAAAAGTTTAAGGAATGGATAAAAATAAACTGTGTTTATCTGCTTAAACACAGCTGTTAGCATGTTTAGCTAACTAGCTATACTTACAGTAGTAACCTAGAGTTTATTTCAAGGCCATAGTAAGCATATCATTAACTACCTACATAGTTTGTTACAGGTTACTCAAAAAAGCCCATTTCATGACTGGCACATTCACTGTGTAAGCTAGTCATACTCTGGATGCTATCAGAGTTTATAGGCTAATGTTAGCAGCTGTGCCCCGCTCTTAATTGGATTTGAGGATGTTTACACTCCAGCAACCCCAGCCAATGTTACCCAAGATGGCATTACGTTTCCCAAACAAATGACAAATGTTAGTTGTAATCCTAAAAACCTTTCCCTTGAAAGTTAAAAGTGAAAACATAATGCCTAAAAATCTGAACATGCATGTAAGCTAACAGTCTGAGCATGGGGTGATTTCAATCAAGGACCCAATGTTTTAAAAGTTACTATACATTTTGAGTGGTAAATTCATCAATTTTATCATTGTAAACTGCAAATATGCAAATGGTAAACTTGACGGGCATAGCAACAGTAACTAAATTGGACGGGGCTTAGCAAATGGTCAATTCTGATGAGATGGTCTATATACTTGCATAATATAACATAGTTTCCACATCTTAACATTGTAAATTCAAGGATCAAAGTGTTTCAAAGCTATCCCTGGATGTTTAAAAGGCACATTGTGACAAAATGTATTCACTTTAACTGCACAGCTCTGTGCATGAGACGGAGTGCTATATTCTGTGATACTGGTCTCTGGTGGTAATAGATTAACACACCAGTGCCAATACCAGCATGCCCTATGACATAAAAAACAAATCTCAGTGATAAATGTCATGTTTAGATTCCGCAAAGAAAAAGTCATAAATAAAATAGATTTCAGAAGGCAATGCATTAAAAATCTTATAAAATATAAATCTCTTCCTGCTCATTCATAATTCTTGAGAGATCTTCCTGATATGTGTACACTTACATTCATCGATTGCTGAGTTGAATGCAGTTGCAGTTGTCTGTAAGCTGTGGTTAGTACACACATGGGATGGGCTGTCTTTCTTGCACACCCAACATGTTTGACAGCTGGTTGACTCTGAATTGTCCCACTGCTGCAACCTCAGTGTCTTTAATTGAACACCATCTACAGCTCATTGGAGGCTCATTCAGATATTCACAGTTAACACATCTGACAATGTTGTATTTAATAATTACTTATTATTAAAGTGCCTGTCAGCGAAAGCAATAGAACTAACTGTGGTTTAATGTCTTTTGGAATTTGTGTTCTCAGAATATTCTTACATTTGTCGCCTGTTGATATTCTTTAATATCAGTAATCAAACGCAGCAGTGAGCCTTACATCTGATAGCTCTTCTCTTTTGCATGGTTTTACAGTGCAACATATCATCATTATAACCAACAGCAAGTGTAAACAAATCTAAAATATCATTAAATTTGAAGTTCAATCCTGAGGTATCCTAAAGGCTGTGCAATTTGTGATGCTTTTGGAGAATCATTTGGTCTTTTCACACTCCTGAGGTATACTAAGGTCAGCAATATACTCCAAACAAAATCCAACTGGCGGCTCAGTTTTTGAAAACTTTGTGAAATACAGTATTAAAACCACAATGTACACTAGATTTATGTCTGTAATTAAGTTCTTAAGGTGTATTTTACTTAAAGTGAAAAAATCTGCCAATGCAGTAAGAATATTTCATTTTTCAAAGGGAAATTGATTCATATTTTCTGAAATGTAGTTAGATTTTTCTTGATTGTAGTGCAGTGGCCTTCCTTATTCTTTCTTGCATCAAGACACTTACTATGTAGGATTTGCAGGATTTATAGACAGAAAAACCTTCATAAGCTGGGGTGTTATGTTATTGCAGTTAATTACAGTAATGTTGGAGATGATTATGCTTGTATGGAAATAAATAAAACAAAAAATTAAATGCCATTGTTGACCAACACTAGCACCACTGGTGCGCTTGGGGACTGAAATAGGAAGTGCAAAAAGTCTGACAAGTTTATTTGTATATTGTTGGCCCACTGTAACTGCAATGTGTTATGATTTTCTTATAGGTGTTACACCTTCTCCGCTTCTTCGGAGGTCTTCACAGACTCCAACGGGATCTCATCTGAAGTGTCCACCGGGTTTTCATAAGCCTCATTCTCCACATGCTGGTGCCTTGCGAAACTCACAAAGACCTGGAATATCAATGAGGAAAAGAAGGTACTTAAAGGCAAGATAAAAAAAACACACAGAACACTGAAGGGCCTGTGGACATTTCTATAGCCATCTCATTTTTACTCTCCCCCACCCTCTGCCTCTAAAACAAACAGAAATAGTGGTACAGACAACGGGGTGCATGTGAATGAGTTGCCAGACAAGGGCTATGAAGCATCAAGTAAGCGTCTAGGCTCACACAGTGAATGTCAGTTTGACATCTTTGACCAGCTGAGAAAGAGAATAAAACAATCATTCTTCTCTCTGTGATGCCCATTTAATGTCAGAAGAAATCAATCCTATGGCGTTCATAAAAAGTCTGTGTGTATTTCATTGTGCTGTAAACATCACTATAGTCCAGGCTTTTTATTCTCTTGGCATTAGCTGACTGTTGTGGTAAAGCGACACAAAGACTTTCACTCTACGGAAAAAAACAAAAGGTGGATCACATAAAATGATAAGAGCATTGCCTTTTCATTAAAAGATTTTCAGTGGCTGGGTGAGTATAAAAGGATCTGTGAATTACTAAAATGCCTTTAAGACCTCAATGAGAAAAAATCATCCAGACCAATTCCATCAGAAACAACTCAGGCTCTCCTTCGTCACAGCTACATACTTGGCCATAAATGAAATGGGACAGAGAGTAAATACATGGGACAGAGCGTAAATACATGGGACAGAGCGTAAATGAACATAAATAAACAATAGTGTCCTTTCAGGCTTTTGTTTTTGAGTAGCTCAGATAATAAAGACAGGGTAATAAAGATCTATCATGTCAGCTTTTGAAGCTTCTGTTTTTAATTAGCTTATTTATATAATCAGCGTTATAATGAAATGTTTATGATAAAGAGAAAAGATCTTCTTGACATTAGTAAACAAAGGATGATGTTTGTCAAGAAGATGTTTCCTTTGCTCAATAGGCTATATTCATTTACATACGCTGAAACCTTTAAAAAATGGTTTGACATTTTGATAAACACATTAGTTGACATTAGATGAGAAGACTGATGCCACTTTTATGTCTGTGTATTAAGTAAGTAGCTTGAATCTAAAAGGGTTAGCTTAGCTCCCACTACAACCACACATTTTCATTATTACATTTCTAAGTGTGTAACAGAAATAAAAACAAGATTAAACATTTAAAGAAGTATGTTTTAAAGATGCTGTAGGTCCATACTTAACACACAGACATACGATGTATCACAATGCTCATCTAACTCTCTGAAAGAAAACAAATAAGAATATTTCCCAAAATGTCAAACTATACCTTTAATATGGAGTCATCTGATTTATTTCATTTTAACTATAGTGTCATTTTACATCTTGAGTGCAGGGGAGTTACTCTGTTAAGTACTGATCATCAGAAATAAAGTTCTTGATGTTATGGTACTCCCTTCAGAAAACCTATATTATTATTATTACAGGTGAAATTTCCTAAATTCCTTTTTTTCTTTACCCAGGATAAATTTACTGAGCACAAATATTCATTTCCTGGAAAAACCATGTTCCAAAGTCGCTTTTGGAAGCTGCCCAGTTCAAACACAGCCTTACTGTATTTGTCGGCTTCAGAGCAGCTGAACAGCTTAAGCAAGTTGGAGGTTAAAAAGCCTTGCTCAAGGGCAGATCGGTGGCAAATTCTGCTCCTTCACTATTCTGACCTGCTGAGGAAGTCACACTGTCTAAACGAGGGATTTCATGGAATCAAATTGTTACGCTTCCAGTAAGAAATTGTAATTCTACAAAGCGGATTATGGTCCTTTGTTCACTCCAAGGTAAAACAGGCTTCTGCTACTTCATACACAGTATTTCCAAAGCATAAGAAACAATTCTTACTAAAAAAAAACAACACTTTTTGTTCAACTATCATTTCATTGGAAGTTAGTACCTACATATGTAAAACTTCCTGACCTCAAAGCTCATGGAGGCGGTGGCCAGAAATCAGCAGACTACCTTGCAACTGAGGAGCAAGCTATGCCTGCAGAACGCCCAAGGCTAAAGTACGCCTCTGTGTGTGTGATGTCAGACCATCAGCAGTGTGTATCAAGGTCACACTTGTCAAGACATCTTATCAGGGCAGAATGAATAAGAAAATAAGAATGACAGTAGCAACAAATACACCCTGCGCCCATCTCTCTCGGCCTCTGACCCTGCCACTGGCTGATATTGGCTTGATGTGCTGAGGCATGCTTGATGTGCTGAGGCATTTCATATTCATAGTCAAGGCTGTATAGTTTTGCAGTAGAATTTAAAAAGTACTGTTTGTTTAACTTTATGTGAGAATCCTAGTAGGGTAAAAAGTGCTTAAGTGGTGCAGTTGACAGTGACAGCTTTTCTGACTGAGATGACCATGGTAAATTCATCCCCTGCTTTGTGATATGACTTTGCTCGTAATGCACACTTTCTGAATTTAGCCAACCATCCATTCATGACCTGGATGTCATGCACCAGTGCTGTTGAGTGACATTTTCTTAATAACAGATGGATACAGGCATTAATTACATTACAGAGGGTACATTTGGGTGTTTATTTGATGCCCGTTGAGGCAGAACAGAGTAGGGGAAGGACGTGAATCACCCAATTAACCTCTCCTGTATATCAAAGGAGCCCTTGCCGAATGTGAAATGGCTATTTTTACATGTCATCCACATGTTCATGCTCTACCCTTATGCTGCACCGACTTTGAAATGTTCTTTAGAGTGGTGGAAGATCTTGCTTAAGTCTGTTAGTCTGAGAGCGGACAAAACAACTTGACATTGGAAATTTGGAAAAAAAAATACATGTTACAATTTGCATTCTTTATCCGGGATGACGTGTCACTCCCTGAGAAACTGTTGACTTTGAGGAGGCGGTTTCTTTATTCCATCAAATTGAATTAAGGATTTACTTTAACCAAACCAGAGTTTGTGATTGTTGGAAGCGCTTAAAGACTAACAAAGACCTTTTTTCAGTGATTTTTTAATTTTGTTTCTTTCAAGTGGGAGTGTGTTTTATGATGATCTGTGAGGTCAAATAATTGTTTTTGTCTATGGAGCCTGGTGGCAAGCAATAGCGATATATTGGCTGTTTCTGGTTAAACAAAAGGTTTATCTCTGCAGGGATCCTTTCTATAAATGTTGTCAGACAGAGAATAACAATGTGAGCCAGTCAGTGGCAAAAACAAGCACTTTTAGTGAACGTACTTTGATGGGCGCCTTTGTCTCCATGGATTACATTGCCGCCATGGTGAATTAGGGGTTTATTTTGACCAAACCAGAGTTGGTGATTGTTGGAACAGTGGACAGACTGAATTCTTTTATCTTTGTTTCTGTCCAGTCTGAATGAAATGGGTTTTATGATCTGCAAGGTAAAATTACTGTTTTTGTCAATGGAGTATGGTGGGCTGTAATTTCAGTGCTTTGGTCTGACATGCTCGTGCTTTAGTGCAACCTTTAGTGGTTCTGAAAGTCTTATGCAGCACCAAGTATTATTTTACAATAAACTACTAAATAATTCATATATTTCTTTTATTAATTTTTATATTTGCAACTGATGCATACTAGATGTAGTGAAATGCTTTTATAAATGATCAAATCAATAGATCACATTGAATTGTAAGCATCATTTACCCATAATTGAATTTTTTATAATTTATTTTACCTGGAAAATGCATTATTTGAGCATCTATAAAAGGGCTGTATCTAATTGTACTATAATTAAGCGGTAATAGGATGGACTGCAAATTACTATGCGATAATCAGTGTTCAAGAAAACGTTCGCCTCTAGAAGAGATTCAAATGAAACTGTTCTCTAGCTAGTTAAGTGATATAGTGACATACAGTAAGCAAGATGATAATTTCCATCATATCATATTTTGTGTCATGAAACTAAAGTAAGTGAAACATAAAACTACAGGAAAGAGTAAGTAATAATTAAGACTACATATATTGTGAAACTAAAAGGTCACCTGCAGTGTTGACATGGCTGAATGTGGACCATTGTCCACACACAAAGCAACAAATACTTCACATTCCAACCACCCAATCATCCTCTAAAAGACAGTTCATAAAGTCAAATTTTTCTTTCAAATGCTTCATCTGCTCGGCACTGTCTTGGCCATCAGCGTTAACGCCTTAGCTCCAGGCTGTGTGGATCAATATTAATTGTAGTGCAAGTCGGGTGTTATACTATAGGTCAAGGCTCTTCTCTATAAATCACCAGCTGAAAGGTGACAGTCTGGGTCTCCACAGGTTCTCCAGTGCTACCCTCTGTGTTTTAATACTATGACCTCCTGGTCCATGTATGATTTATTTACTGCCTCTGATCTGGTAAATATTGACCAGTGCTGAATGTGGGGCAAGTTGATGAAAAAGTTAAAACAGAAATTACGCAAGGTTGGAGGTAATGCTTGACACCAATGATCAGTGAAGTGCTAAAAACCCTTAAGGAGAAACCAAATCTGACTGTAAACCACACTAAGTTAGAGCATTTAGCTTTTCATAAATCTCTTTCCTGTCATAGTGGTAGGCTAATTGGCCCCTAAAGGGCATATTTCATCTAAATACTGCTGCAAAAGATGGTTTTATTTTGAATAAGGGGTTATCCACAAGGGGGTCATGTTGATAATGAAATGCTTAACATCCCTGTAGGATTTATATCACATCATTTGATTTAAATGCAACAGTGTGACAGTACAGATGAATGCACAGACAGATAACTTAGTCCCTCACTCACATCTCTGTCCGGATTTCCTTTAAATGCAACAGGAGGCACTTTTCTCCCCCATGGTGGAGTGGACCAATGACCTTTCTGGACCGCTCAGAGGTCATCATCATCTCCAACCTGGTCATCGGCTGCTGAGCTAATGGTGGGCTTGCAAGACCAGACACACTCGCTCGCCTCTGAGTGCCTGATTGCATCAGGTCCCTGGGGCCATTTGGAAAACACAAGGTGAAGCCAGTCTGTAACATGCAGGGCTCACTTTATCTCACCAATCAGGGGGTCTAGCCAGTGCACTTGGGATGGAATAAAAAAAGGCACAGACTGCTTTTTATATATATAAAAATAAAAAAAATCTCAGTCTAGATCCTTGATCAATACTGAAACCTGGCGGCTGATCTTGGCTACACAAACTCAGCGTAGTCCTCATTGGTCAGTCTGACAGCCTGAATTGGAGAAGACAATGTGTCGGTGGTGACAGATCTTTATATCTTTTCCTGGACTGAGCCAGCTTGTATTAACTGAGAGCGCTTATAATGCTGAATGTATTGACTGATGATTTAATAATCTGTCAATCTCAGCTGGTACTCCACAGAATTACAGTAGGAGAATAGAACATGGCCAGTCAAATTGTGCATCTCCTGCTACTGTACAAGCTAATCCCAGCTAAAACTTTTTTGCCAAAATACAGAATACATTTCCCAGATAGATTCAGAGGGACTCCAGCATTGATAACCCTCCATTTGGATAAAGGAAAATGTGTCCTCACCAAGTCTGTGCCTTGAACAAACCTTTAGGAAATAATCAAGTTTCCACAATTCAGACAACACATACCCAAGGCCAAGTGGAAATGTTTCACACAATATGGGGCCTGTGTGTAATTCCTCTTTTGTTCTTCTCAGAGCTTGCCAGGTGACATTAGAAAAGTGTTTTCACCATGGATAGCCAACATTGCAAAGCATGTGCATCAAAAAAGAATGGACTCTTTGTGGCTAAAGCCATGTTTCTTAGCAGCCATCTTCTGTCCTGTTTTGCAAATATATTGCTACTGGTAGAGATGAAGATCGAGAGATGAAATAAATGTATTGCTGGCTTTCTAGGAACAGTGGCTGGAGATGAAAAGATTTCCGCTGATTCCTTTTCACCTTTACCTTAGAGAACGATACTATGGAATATTGATCAAAGAGACAGTGTGTTCACCTCTAGAAATATGGGTTCATTTGATGTAGACAGAATGTAGACCACAATCATATTTAATAATCAGCTACAATGTTAAATGGTTTTTGAACATTTTAAACAGCTAGAATGACAGCCATCACAAATGAGACTATCAAGTTTCTCAATATAGAAATAATATAGTATCATGAATTTAACATTGCTGTTTTGGTTAGTCTTTGGCTATACAATGTATTAACTCTGCAAAATGTAAATGTCTATAAATTACATGATGAAATTAATAAGAAGTGAAATAAATGCAGAGACACATAAGTTCAGATGAATAAGTTTGATAAATAGCCTGTAGCAGCAATTTTTTCCATGACAACCAGAAATCTATCTTATTATATCCTGAATATGTACATGCCTCAAAGTGCTGTCTGTCATCTTTTCAGTAACATATGTCAGCCGAAGGCTAATCATATAGAAGTCTATAGGCAGACTCTTGCTATTTTACATTCATATTATATAAATAATAGACTGTCTTTGTTATTCATGTATCATATATGATTTTAGTTTCTTCACACAATTTCTCACACATGACAGCGGTTAATTAAAAAAAGAACAAATAAATCCTTGATGCTGTACCAGTCAAATTGCTGAAATGAAACTATGAAATCAAATTAGACACACTCCAGTTTAGAAGAATGTAAGACTCACAAGGCTCAGAGAGAAAGAGTCTTGGCACTTATCATATTTATTTGGGCCTTACCTGATCCAGAGTGGTCTGGGACACAGAGTAGTCCTCCACACCCAGCCTCTGCTGATGGCTGGTGAACTGGCTGAAGATGTTGGCCAAAGCTCCCTGCGTGTATGGGAGCTGATACTGCAGTGTGTTGTGATGCTTCTCCTTCAGGATGCTGCCTGGGAAGGTATGCTGGACGAAGTCCTCGACTGGCTTCAGTGCAGGAGGAGAGCCGCCAACCCTCACAATCACTGTGTAGCCATCACCGAATCTAGAACAAGAGGCCGGGCATTCAGTAAAAAAAAAAAAAAAAACTGCAAACAAGCATGTCAGTGCCAAATTGCTCACGGCTGGTCATCTAAATAATGAACTTTCTTTTCTCCTGTGGTTGCGTCACCCTGTGATGGATAACAGGGAAGAAAGCGACAAGGCAGGAAGCAAAAAAGATGACAAAATATAATTGGTCTCATATTTCCCACTATTTCAAGCTTCCTGGATGTGGTGAGCTGGAGGAGCAGCTGAGTCACAAGCAGCTGAGAACAAAAACAGCTTGACTTCAACAGTGCATTAAAGTTGATAGCTGATGGATAAACTTTTCAACTTTCTAGTGGATTTCAACATAATTTTCTGCACCAAATGTAAAAGAAGGTATCATCAAAACAGATGAGACAGAAACTGTTTAGACAAGGGTGTATATTAGCTAAGAAACAAAAAGGATCCACAATGTATTGTTGTTTTTATTAGTTAATATAATAATTAATTAGGCATGAAAGCCACTTGCAAGGTTGCAAGGTTGCAAGGTGGTTGCATCCATAATGTGAGTTTGACAAACTATATATATATTATATCTCACAGGACTGCATCCCAAATAAGACTGAGTATATGATTCACAATGAAGAGTACATATAAAGTGCTTGCCTCATTGAAGAGCCAAGGTTTTGAAAATATGTCAACATGGTAAAACTTTACTACATGAACAATATCTTAAAAAATAGTCACAGATGAAAATGGGCCATAGCTAAGCTCTAAAGCTAATTAGCATTCTGCGTCTTCCCGGTTGTATGCTACGTCTGGTGAGCACCAAATAAGAGTCTGTGCCTTGTTATTCTGTCGTTAGCACTCTTATGACCCATTGTTTTCTGCCTAATTAATTCCCTAATGTTGGATTTACTCATGGAAATGTCCATTGTGGGCTAGTACAGCACTACATGCAACGAGAGTCAGAGGCTCCCTTAGTGGCAATTAGAGATATGCTGAATAAACTGCGGGCCTACACGATCCCAAAGGGAGTGGGAGAGGAAGTGAAGCTCTGTGCTGTTGCTGAGATGCACAATGAACGGACTCCATGGGCTGCAGAGTCCCTTTAGTTAAAACATGATGCTTGAAGTTGAAGAGCCGCTGTGCAAAAAATAGTGTTACTTTGCATAAAGTGTATGTGGGAATGCCTATTTAATACCCACTTCCATCCATGCATAAGTGTCTTTTTAATGCTACTTTTAGAATCAGATGATCTCAAGGCACCCTCCTTAGCTGGAATTTTCTGACATTATGATTGGACAAGCCAGAATACCTTTTACATACATCAGATTTTAGATGAATCTGTAGAAGCTGGTATCCGAGCCAATCACATGCTACATCATTATAACCATACCCCATGACCTCTGTCTCCTGTCACACAATCTTCAACTGTTTCTGCCAATTGATTGAGGTGAAGAAACTGGGAATTCTTGCAATGATTTAGTGTTTCCTTGCATTGTGGTCTGATACCACAGCGAAGGAAAGGTTCAAAACCAAAATAGCAATGTGCAAATGTGCCCACATTTAAATTGGCTACCATGTTAGGGGGAAAGGAAAATATATATACTAACATAAAATAATGCAGACAATGTGAAGCAACGCCTGGAATATATCAGAATTTATGATGCAACAGAGCGGGTGGCATGCTATCCTGCCACAACGTCTGTGTCAAGCCTACTGTATAGGGAGGATCTGAGAACCGTGCTGGCACTGTGATCTCCTCAGGCTCTGCACGCCGTAGGTGATGAAAAGCATCCCCATGAAACTCTAAGACATATTATGTAGTACACATCATGTGGATACAACTATGGGTGCCCTGCAAGTATCAGCATGTTAGCATTTAATTAAGCAACTGGCCTTTAGACAGCCCTCCAACCATACCAAATTATACTCCTATTATATTGACCTGAGCCCTGCTCAACTTTGCTGTGAAATACTGTTCCTTTTGCTAGGTGTTCATTGAGTGCCTAGGGCTTCATTAGTTCAAAGTGAAAAAGCAGGATCATAATAAGCATCAGAGGAACGTGGGTCTCAACGACTCTGGTCACATCGCATGAAACAAATTATACCATTGTAGCACTGCTTTGTTCCTCATTAAGAAGCTACCTTCAGTTAGTACTTAAACTCTTTAATTTGTTATTTTCACAAATACATTCCATCATAATATGATTATGATTCAGGTTCATGAATAAAATTGGATGTTTTTTACTTATAATCAGTGTGAAAATATAAGCACATCTACCTCTTCCAGATGCTCAGTCCAAAAGACGGTAGCAACAAATGGATCTTGCATTATCACATGTCAAATGTTATCGCCATGGCTGTGCTGCTGTCACCAAAACACATACTAAGAGTATGTCACAACATGTGCGAGATGGTCTAAGCTGTTTGCATGAAACGTAAAGACTTAATACCTGTAAGAAGTGTCAACATCTACCTTTGACAATGCACATCTGCTTTGATTCACACACGCAGCACCATCGTTCTCGAGTAAAGCGCACCATTTATATAGACTGTAGCCAGAACTCCTCTTACATTGTGGATCATTTTTGAAGGTTTTTATAAGATGCAACAGACTACACAGTCTGTAATCAGACACCACAACATCACAGCCATCCCTGCATATCAAGCTTAATTCATCATCCAATCAAGACTATGACCAAAATCCCCTTGTGTTTATTATAGCTGCCGGTGTAGGAAATGTGCTTCGTCTATGGACTGCCAAGCTCGCCAAAGATGCAAAAACATTTTTGCAAATATCCAATAAGGCCATGAAGCATTGTGGTGAAAGGGTTTGGCAAAGGGGTTTGGGGTATATATTGGTAATGAAATGCTGCTTGTCAGTGACAGTAAAAGGGCTTATCAATTAGTTTCCCCTCATTCTCTCTCCCTGGCTACCTTACTTTTATTTCCTTTCTTTCTGCAGCTACAGAGGGGCTTCAGGCAGTGCTTTGGGGAAAATATATTTCTCTCATATTCATCATTTTTACTCTGACTCTGTATTCACAACAAAACAAGTTCTTTCATCTTGGATACACTGTCGGTCTTGGCTCTCCTCAAATAAACTCTGTGTAGGGAAAGGTAGACTTGGATATGTTGAAACAGAGCCTGCAGTACACTTTGTGTTCATAACAATAGAGTGGCATGCTTGAAACAATTAATTCCATTTTAACTGCTGATTTAATAGCAAAAAAGACAGATCTTTGCAATTTGGTGGCTGAATAAAGAGAAACAAAATGAAAGGATTATGGTTAAAGTCATGACTGCACCACATTGTCACAACTAATCCTTTCATAATATTTTACATTAGAGATATGATACAGCAGCTCAACACAGCATGGCAGAGACACTGTAATGTCTGCGCTGCTTCTTCGTTTTCATTATTCTGCCTCAATCCTCTCCTCCACCCTGGTCCGCTGGAAAGTCGTTCTTCCATGTAATTTAAAACAAACAACAGCCAGACACAGATAAGGGCATGACAGGCAGAAAATAATTCTGCTGCCTTCCTTCATCTGAGGGAGTCTGGAAAGGTCACCCTCACCACTGCCAAATCTTGTATTTGTGTCCGCAGGGGGGAAGGCGGACGCGGGGCAAGAGGTCACAGTGTGGCTTGGGTGGTCTGGTGCTTTGATCAGGCAGGGAGTCATCCAAAAAACTTCCTTAGTTCCTGGAGGGGGAGTAAACAGAGCTCTAGGCAGAGGCTCCACAGGCACAGTGGGGAGAGAGGGGTAGATGAATGGATAAACGGATAAAGAGAGGGATGGATGGATGGATGGATAGGTGATCTTTGTCCAAACAGGAAAGGATAGATTTGCATTGTAAGAAGGCCTTAAAAATTTGTTGATTAGAAATATTGCATGTTTATCCCCATTCACGATAATAAGACCCCATCAGTAAAAATAAATATTAACAATAAAACAGATAACACAAATTACAAAATGAACTGTAAAATTAAAAGAATAAAATACCCATCTATATATGATAAAAACAATAATAATAATAAAATGGATGAGACACGATGGAAATCAAATATCGTGCAATGAATAAAAAGCTTTTTTTGGGTTTTGAAAATGATTTAAAAGATGTCACTGATTCTGCGATTAAAGCCACTATGTGAAGAGTATTATTTTGAATGTACTTCCTTGCTTATAAAATATTTGTAAAACTGTGCATTAATATTTTAAAACCCGCATTGATTATATTTTGCTGGCAGTTTTCATCTTTCCTGTCTTTTTCTGGCAAAATATTCATAATAACTGATAACAAACTGCAACAAACTGGTAATAAGACATTCAATGACAACACAGTGGCAGTTTGCAAGCAACGACTGCACTTACTCCAGATGCTGGTTTGTGGTGTGTAGTAAACTTATGATGCTCTTCTGCAGCTCCATTGGCAGAGTCAGTCATCATCTTCTCTATTATCACTTTGGTAATCTCTCAAAGTGGCCAGTAAGATCATTTGTGTTAAACTGCTTAAGTCTCTGTGTGTTCTATAAGTGTATATACTGGCTGTAAGACAAACTTCCACTTGGGGGCAATAAAGTAAAAGCTGAAGTTAAAGATTACCGCGGCAAACTGTCAGTCGGTGGTTTAGCATGACACTGTTGTCAGAAATATGTATTCTTGGACACATGCTAGTGGTGCACAAGATGCAGACAAAAACGGGGTCTGCAATCAAAACATTGCTCCATACTGCTTCGCTACTATACTGTACCTTTAATACAGGTACAACCACTGTTACACACTAAATTCATTATGCTGTTAATGTATCTAAAATTAATACATAAAAACCACCTAATGGCGTTAATGTGCTTGCTAACTGGGAGTCTCTGGCAATGGAAGTTCGAATTTTCTTTGTAACTTATCATTATAGTTAGAGAGGAAGTCGTGCTGTGAATCAGTCAAAAAAAAAAAGTACTGATGAAGTTTAGAAGTGGCAATATAAAGTGGGAAGTTCATTCTTAACCTTGGAAATAGCAGTTTGAAAGCCAAGGTCCACCTTTACATGCAGTTGAAAACTTCAGATAAAAGGTAGTGATTGGGCCTTGAGTTAACATTATTGTGTTAAAATAAAATGGTTTAATCTGTCCTTAGTGATAGTTTTCAGTGATGAGTAGTGGAAGACTGCTTCTATGCAAAGACATATTCACGAGGCGTTTGCATCCAGTATAGTGCCTCGAAAGTAATCCTACACGAAGGCCACCATCTGGCCTGTAAAAGTTATTACTACGAGATATACAAACATGCATAGTTCGACACGGATGTAATAAAAGACAGAGAGGCATGTAGCAATTTCTGCAGTCCTTGAAATATAGATGCAGATATTGCTTGCACAAAAATAAGCTGTGATAAAACCAATGTCTGTACAAGAACCGCAATCCCACATAAATTAAGATTCTCACCAACTATCAAGGGTAAAGATGTCGTATATTTCCAGTGCAGACAGCTCTCAGATACGTACAGTATATATACAGTACACCATCTGTGTCTGTCAGTGTTCTAGCAGGCTTAATTACACCTACGTTGCTGATGCATTGTAAACTGTAAAGAGAATTATTTTGTCATCCATCTCCGCTGGTGACACGCACTTAAAAGCCGTAAACTATTCAGTTAATGGCACACCTGCAGAGCTGATGCAGAGTGAGTGGGAAGGAGTTTATTGGACTTCTCAACGTCAACTTCAGGGGACTGATCCAAACTTCTAAACATCACTTCTAGACACCACTCTTGTAAAAACTCTCCAGCGCCCACACCGCATTACCTTAATGCATTAAAGGCACTTTACCCCCCACTTTTATATCATGACGTGCTTTAGGCAAGGAGAAAATAAGACTCCAGGCTGTGGTGTGTACTTACTGCAGGTACTCTATGAAGTGGGGATATGAATGATATCAATCAGTGAAAAATCCTGCATCGGCTAGTGGGTGTCCTTCCTAACTGACAAGATTATAGGGGAGCTTTGAAGCTGCTTTTATTGGTTCCTCCACTTCATTTGGGTTTACTTAACACCTGGGGGCTTTCATACCAGCACACTGCTGTATTAAAGCACTGTTTACAGCCTCTTGCAAATTTCTTTACTTATTTATTTTTTCCCCTTCCCCATCAGCCTTTCATAAATTCCTATAAGTGTGATTGATTTGAGGGTCTCGATATCAGGACAGGGAAGGAGGATGTTTTTAACAGCCGAGGAGGAAGATAATGAAGGGGGCTTCTTAAAATGGCCGCCCTACTGTTCAGAATCCACCGCCCAAATCAAATCTTCAGCCCCTTTTTGCATGCTGACCACCTCTCTGGCAGTTTAAATGGGCTATTTTGGCTCATTTGGGGCATGATTGATACACAGAGGCGGGGGTTGTTAAAGCAGCAGAAGGGCATCTCGGTGATAAAGACAGGGTCACCACTGAACTAAAGGGGGCAGCACTAACAAGCACTTGGATGGCTGCGTTGGAAGCCCTGCCACCTGAGAGTAGCACAGGGAGGAATAAATAAGGGTAATATGGCGAGGTTTTTGAAGGAGACGAGGCGATGGGGGGAGTGAGGGATGCGAATGTGGGAGGGTGAGCAATAGGGGGTCAAAATGTGAGAGCTGCCCCTGCGGTGAGATTCTGCACTCCTTTCAGGGGCTTGTGATGAGAAAGAGATGGAGACGTTGGGGGTGGGAGGGCAGTGGGGGGAAGAAGCGGCACTCCCAGCTTTGCAGGTCAGCCGCTCTCGCCGTGTGACAATGGCGTACACCACCTGCCTCTATTGCCATGCCTCCCCCTCTTCCACTTCAAACCCTGCTGCCTGATGGAACTCTTCCCATCTGCAAACTGGCAACAGCTTGCGCATTTGTGAAAACCAGCCCCTCCATTCCCACATTATGGACTCAGATTTGAGAGACTCACACAAAACACTGGATGTTCAGTGTTTCTACCGTGCCAAGCTGGATAGATGAGGTTCACAACAACTTAAACGATGGTGGATCACATGCTAAACCAAGGGTGGGAACCTGTGTGTGTGTGTTGGTGGGGGGCAACATGGCAGCACAAACATGTGGTGGGATAGTGACGAGAAAAGAAAACAGAGAAGACAGTCCTTAATTGCCTTTTCAGTCATTAACAGGGTCCCACACCTCATGAAACATTAATTACACCAAGCTGCGGAGATAGGGGCGCTTAATTAGAAATTATTCACTGCGTGGCAAGAACTGAGCGATAGCATTTCAGCAGCATGTAAATTGTCCAAACGAGATCTAAAATAAGCATGGCGAAAATCGGTCTAGACGTCATGCTTATCTGGCTTCCTCTCACTTGACTGTCTTGTGAAGTGTGATTCCCTTTTACCTGATAACATGTCAAGTAAAGTAGGACACGTGTTAACCCTATGTTCTCCTCCCTTGTTTGCTGCTTCTACCCCTCCGTCGCTCCGGTGGCTGTTCCCTATCCCTGTACCTCCTGTGAGGTTCATAAATGATTTACGCCACCCTGCTCGTCCCCCTACAGATAGGGATGTAATTGACACAGAGGATCTGTCTATTACCCTAACATCTGGGAGGGACTGATTGGAACATCGCTCTCCCACTTTAGCCCTTCGCCTCTTAACTCTCCCTCGTTCTCACCCTTTTTAGGCCCCATCTAAAATCTACCTCTTCCCTCTCCGCAGTGAGACAGTGGCCGATGATATGACATTAACGCTCCTGATGTGAAATACCCTTGACACTGTTGAACCCCTCCTTGCTGTTCCAGTTGTTTTCCCCTAATCCCCCGCACGACTTTAAAAATGGTCCGCTCCACCCCTCATCCCAGGTGTATTGATCTTTCTCTCCACCCAACGATTGCCACCACATATTCCTGTCTTGTGTGTAGCTCTTGTGTGTGTGTGTAATGTCCTTCCTCTTACAAGATCACACAATGGAGTGGTAATAATGTCACCAGACTGTACCTAAGGTAATGGATGGGCCTCACTGTTACATGCAGGGCTCGCGGCACAAGTGCTGGCCTTGGGAAATGTCAGATGAATATCAGAGAGCAGACCGAGTGGTAAGAGTTAAGGGCAGGGGATATCTCCAATGGAGACGTAACAAAATGCATTAAGAGACATGTACAAAACCTATTATGGGTGTGCATAAGGATAGGGATGGTGGAGAAAGAATTTATGGGTCTTTAGAGAAACAAATGTGAAACTGAGATAATGGTGAAAGGCTTGGGACACTAACCTCCTGCCTACAGACCTGACTGTCTGCACATTGGCTTCATATATGGATCTTTACATGTGAAATCAATGCAATCATGTTGATGAATCTATGCTAAAAAGAACATTTACAGCTTAGCGCACCAAAACATAGGGGGCATTTACTGTATGAGGGTTTATTATTATAAGTAAAACAAATAAATATATTATCGTTACATAACCTCTGAACCAAAAATAGCTTTACATGTTGGGATATACACTTATTTGTTGTCTTGCCGAAACTTATATTGATACCACTCTCATGTCTGTACACTAAATATGACTCTAGAGCAAGCGTCTGATTAGCTTAGCTTAGCATAAGCACTCTTATTAACACATTATATACTGTTTGTTCTCTTCACTCAAAACCAAGGAGTAAAAACTTACATGCACACTTACTGCTAGCTGTTTCCCCCACTTTTACTCTTTATGCTAAGCTAAGCTAATTGGCTTCTGGCCGTAGCCATATACTTAACAGACAGATTTGAGAGTGATATCAATCTTCTAATCTAACTCTTGGCAAGAAAGCAAAGTGTATAGATCAAAATGTTGAAGTATTTCTTTAACGACAATAACTTACAGTGTATGTGAGGTTCCACTGGTACTTAATACTTTTTGATACATTTTATATCTCCGAAAGGGTCCTTCTTAGCTGTAGCAATAAATAATAAAAAATAAAAATATGCATTCTTTCCTTTTCTTCCTTGGAAAACGTGGAATAGTTTTCTTTTTTATTAACAATATACATTGTCCTATGTTATTTATATACACAGTATAAATAACAGAACACCTCTGTGGGAGACAGGGATTTCTTTCATCTCATTTCAAGGGGCTTCAAAGATTTTCTTTAAATTTTTTTTATTCTACTCTTGGGCTAACACACTCAGTGGTAACAAAAAAAAGGACCCTTACCTGCTCTTCAGATGCTGGATGCTCCCAAAACACTTGAAGCGACCGTTTACCATGATGGCCATGCGTGTGCACAGTGCTTCACACTCCTCCATACTATTGAAACACAGGGGCGAGGATAATGATGCAGGACAAACGTAAAGCAGCAATAATACCAGATGCTTGAGTCTCTTTTTTTTTTAGATAAAAAACAATGGCATCTTAAAATTGACTTCCTTGGTATAATAGGGGCATTTCAGGGATTTTTATAATGCCTGTCCTTCTCATTCAGCTACTTCTCAGTGTGCTGTATTCAGGGCTAGAACTCTGATCACAGATGTTTTTTTAAAAGGGAAGAACTCAATCAATTTTAGACCGTGTCAACTCACATTATTTTGCCGATAAAGATCTCTACTGATTTACAGAAACTTTCTCTTCTCATTTACAGCTAAAGTTTGGGTTGGAGCATTTTTACGTGTCTACTTTGACACCTTAAATAGACGACAAATTTGGTAATTAGAGGGAGAGGAAGGGACCATCTGTAGTTCCTATTATCTCATTTTTTCTCTTTCGGGGTTGGGCTGGAGCAGGAGTCATTTGTAGTTGAGGCAAAACCTGTGAAGCCTTTTTGAGGAATGGTGCAATTAGGATTATGACTTTGTAAAACCTGGTGAATCTGCCACTTAACAAAACACAACCACCTGGTTATGCCATGGACGATTGGATGCAGCTCAGCCACATTGCCCGAGACAACAAATGCTTTTATTTCTCCATAAAGGCAACACGTGTAATGAGAATAATATATTCCAAAGGAAACAACAGCGGCACAAATTATTCACGTGCATTGCCAGTGGCACAAATGATTCAAAAACCCAGGCAATTTGTGAAATAGTGAAATAAACAGGCTTGTGAATTGTTAAATGTTCCATATCGACTTGGGCCATCAAGTTTTAAGCTTCTGAAAAAAGGAGGCATTTCATTTTTTTCTTCCTCATTCAAAACCATGTCCAAAAACTGGTCAGCAGTACAGAAGAAAAAGTTGGGAAACTAACTTTACTCCAGGAAGTCTTGGATAATGAAAAGTCTCCAGCACTGATATTGACAGTTTTTCTTTTCATGGAGGAAAAAAACCCACTAGTCAGTCAATATCCCCTCATGCTCCATGAAAGCTTTATAGCAGCCAGTGTGTTTCTGGCAGCCAATATTAACTGTTATGCAGGAAACAATACCTTTTGACTAAAGTGTAACTCCAGTCAATTATAATTACAGTTATACAGCTGACGTTCATTTTACGGACAATGTGGCTGATCTGCTTTCCCTGGTAAGAAGTCAAAATATTTGGACTCTATCTTAGCGGGTGAGGTGTGAATCCATCAGAGAAAATCAATAGGTAAAGAGTGATGTTGCACCTGTGTGATGTGAGAATAACTGAGCGTCCCTCTCTGATGATACTCAGGATGCAGTCCCACAGGAAGCGTCGCGCTTTGGGGTCCATCCCAGTGGTTGGCTCATCCTGCAATGAACGTAATCTCTTTAAAACAGTTCATCATATGCTACCTCAGAAAATCATTTAAAGATATAGGATATCATAGTATATTACAGCACAAATCTACTTTGAACAGATCATCTAAAGGACCAGTATGTAGTAGAGAAATTCCAAAGGCACTATTAAGAATACAGTGTTTGGTTTGTCTCCTCTGGGCTACTGTAAAACATGGTGGTTCAATAAGGCATACTCTGTAGAACAGGACCCACTCTCTCTGTAGATAAAACGGCTTTTCTGAGGTAACAAAAACACAGCTATTCTTATTTTCAGGTGATTATACACTAAGGAAAACATATCTATGACCATTATATTCCATTTCTGTCTATAGATCCTCCTAAATGTTACACACTGGACCTTTAATGATGTGTGTGCAAACAGACATAAAGATGGGTGACATAGAAAAGGAAAAACCTGAATTATGTTAACACATAAACACATATCTATAAAGGCAAAAAATAGGAGACAGCAAACATACATGGGTGAAGTCTGAGTATAACCATTTACACATAATGGAGACACATATTGAAGCACTCTCCAGCATAGTATAACACACACACAGAGAGTCTCAGTGACTTGCTGTTTCTTTTTCCTCAGGGCTAGTCTGTCCATGCATGATTAGGGGGTGACAGTACTCAGTCCATTGGCTGGTTTCGTTCCAGGCCTGGTTCTCCCTCGCTAGCAGAGTCCTACAAATCCCAAGGGGTATTTCCATCACCATGCCCAATGTGTCCCTGTGCAAACCCTACGTGGCACTGCCTCAAGGCCGCCTGGGCTCCCTGGGCTAGCACACAATACTGAAATTGACACAGACACTGACAACACATTATCCCACTGCCTCAAAGTGGAGGCTGGCCTGGCTCAGGCGAGTAAATAAGTAGGTTTGGAATAGTGCAGCTCGACGGGCCAAGCACTGAGCCAGAAAACAGAAACGGCTGGAAAGATTATTCTGTAAATATAATTCATTATGGATTACTCATTACCTGACTGATTACTCATTAAATTGTTATTAGCAGCATAATCTGATGGATTGCTTTAAATCATGCAAAGTAATGCATTTATTACAGTTTACAGGAAGCAAATTAAACAGCATGAACTGGCATTAAAATGTATTTATATAATGTAACATTTCTGCTTTATTAGACCATGTGATGTGGTGGCTGGGACATGGGATAACAAGTAAAAATTGTAATAATCTTAATGAAGAATATACTTTGGTGAGCCCCCTTAGGGAGCCCCAAATGTGATTTAAGGTCATTAAAGTTTGTCCCTCATAATAACACGGCCACAACTTCCTAATGCACATTAAAGCCGCTTAATTGAAAGCATGTGATGGAGTGTATTCTGAGTCATGCCTTCATTAATCTTCCATCAGTGAGAAAATGCTTTTGCGCTCAGTTTTAAGTCCTGATGAATTGGAATTTTAATACGTGCAAACATGGTTCTGTGTGCTCTACGTTTTTCTAAAGGAATTTTTTTTTATTAAAACATGACCTGTGAGTGACCCCTGAAAATACACCCTCTTCATCCACAAGTAATGTACATGTAATCCTTTAGGAAATTCAGTAAGGATTTACTAAATTGATCCGAATCTTGTTTTTTTTTTCATCCGCTCACTCTTGAAAGCATATGTTAACCCAAATTCCTACACTCTATCATCCTCCTACTACTACAGAGCCTCTGTGTGCTTGTAAAGAGAAAAACAACTGATCTGCTGTAATCCAAACATCTGCACAGCATCAATATTGATTGAAAGTATTACATTCTTGAGTCTTCTTGAGAATGAAACAGCAGCGTATCTTTTTTTTACCATGTACAAACACACCAATAAAGATATATCTCACCAGGAAAATCACAGAAGGACAACCGATCAGGGCTATGGCTGTAGAAAGTTTGCGTTTGTTCCCGCCGCTGTAGGTTCCTGCTGACTTGTTGGAATATTTCACCAGCCCCAACTTCTGGATCCCCCACTCGGCCACCTTTCGAAAAAGACAGAAATTAAAGTGACCAAAACCCATTACGGTGTCAAGAAGAGTGTTCACATAAGACCCATCATCAGACTCTCGATGATGGGTGATACTTTGGCTAGGATGTCCAACGTGGTTTTCAAGGACAAGGCATGACAACTGGCATCACTCTAAGACCTTAATCACAGGCTGCTGAAGTACTCGTCAAACGGCGGCAATCAGGAACATCACCAAAGTGCACACTATCGCCATATCTCAAAGGACACAATTAGATGTCACAATAAAATGCAGCTATACAGTACTGTAGGACCTGCGTTTCGCTTCCAGTGCATTTCTTGAACATACATGTGGATATTTCTGTTTACCGATTGTGCAAATATGAATGCACAGGGGCTCAATTTGGATCAAGAGTTGGGAAAAAAAATGGCACACCACAATGGAACACGGTAAAATCAAGAATTATGCTAGCAGTGCAGAACTGGGTCCCTTTACACTGCAGCTAAGAGATCAAAGCCCTGGCGCCAGGTCTGAGGCCTATGGTCGCCGCCAGCCTCTTCCTCTTTTGATCTGTTGTAGAAGCGGGTGCTGCGAGAGGAGTGCAGGGAGGCCGCACAGGGCCGGCCACACCACTGGGCATGGTGAATAATGTAGAGCCATAACCCACAGCTGCTGCTTTTCTACCACCGGCCATTTTTCATTATGTATGGCTTCTCCCACTGTGGTTATCTATCACTTCGACATGTACTTCAGCTTGCCCTACATGCATTCTAGCTGAAAAGTATTTTGATGGTGAAAATAAAACAAAAACATTCTGAAAGGAAATAAACATGTCTTGAAGCAGTAGAACATTGGAGTTTTTTTCATCTTTTTTTGATATTCCAATTACAAAAGCTTGACAACTAATATTTTGGCTATGAATGTTAAAGATGTTAATGCCACAGCATCAGCCACATTTTTTTTAAATGTATAAGGACAAGAAGTCGGGAAAGAATGTAATGGTTACCATGGAGACTTCTTTTTCTGGTACCCCTCGTAACCTGGCGTAAAACTCCAGATGCTCTTTTCCGGTCAGGAGGTCATCGATAGCATCAAACTGGGGACAATAGCCCAAGTTCTGGTGCACGTCCCTCATTTCTGTTCGTATGCTGGAAGACAAGAACACATTAGAGATTTAGAGACAGTGGATCTCATTGATGTTTAAGATCACAGATTTAAAGATTATATTAAATGGCAAGACAGAGAATACGATATCAAATATACATATATCTATATTTATAACAGTCAGAAGGCCAAGAAGCATACACTTAATTTATGGAGCCTATTGTATTTCAACGAGAAGAAAGAGAGAATCAGAGCTGAGCTAGTCAACGCCTTTGTTTCTCTTTGAAACTCTTTCAAACTAATATAGAAGAGCAGAGTGGTTCATTTCACATTCTGTACGTGGTCTCAAGTAAGTGTCTTCAAAATTCTCTGTCTTGGAAATGAGAAACAAAAAACCCCCAAAAATCCGGCTGTGGAATGTTTTCCAGGCAAGCTGTTCCGGGCATATTGCATGCACCCTCTAGAGGCAAGTAGAATAATGGCAGGAGCAGCTGTGGAGCCAAACCATGATCCAGACATGCCCTCTCGGCAATCGTCATTATTAATACTTTTACCACTTGCAGGCAACAAATGTAAAAGCTAACTTTCTTTCTTCTTTTTACAGCTGCGTTGTTTTATTTAGAGATAATACTAGACCCATTTTTCCCCTCTAAATGCAATTGTCAGCTTGAGGGAGGCTAAACGTGATTTGATGTGTCTAGAGGCTGCTGGATCTTAACAAGGCCACAGTGAACTGAAAGCTTTACTGATCTAATATTGTGTTTTATTTGAGCTCTTAGGAAGGCCAAAGTTTGGTGAGCAAGTTTGAGTGTGTTTGGCCTGTTAAAAGATATTCATTTGACGTGACAATACATTGTGAAGTAACACAAAAGTAATGGAATAAATAATGTAACGGAATTACATTCTAGAGGGAGTAAATAAGTATTGCATTACCTTTTATAGTAAGGAGTAATGTGCAACATATGACATCTTTTTGAGTAGAAATCTGAACACTGATGATAAGTTTTTAAGAAATCACCTTTTTAGTTTGACACCGTATGTTTATCTAAGAATTCAACTTTAAGATTGTCGATAAACATTTTACAAGTCGACTGCCCTCAAACTAGAGACATCCATGTTCTTCCCACTATACAACAGACCATACACTTTGTAGTAATTCAATTTTAAAATATATTTGGTGGCACTTCATCACAGAATTGTCTTTTTTAGAGGAATAGTTGATATTTTGGGAAATACGCATACCAGCATTCGCTTTCTTGCCAAGAGTTAGATGTTAAAGCTTAGTGTAAAGACTTGAAGCAGGGGGAAAAGCTTTGTCTCTTTCCTTTTGGCGTCCCATACAGCAGCATATAGTAACCATCAGCGGCTGTATGGGACGCACCGGGCTTTCTATTGACTCTAATGTAAACCCATCCGCGGCGCTTATAGACGCTTACAGAAACTTCCATCACTACAATATTAACCTGATCGCGGAATCATGTTGCAACATTATTTGACTCTTAAATGTAAAAAACCCATCCGCTGCACTTATTAGAACGCTTACAGAAATTCCACCATACCCAAATATTACCTGATCGCGGTATATCGGATGGTTGGACAAACCATTATTAGGACAAAAAATGTAAGTTAGAATTCAATCCAACTGTAGTGTCTAGCTGTATATATGCTTGGTTATACACAAGATGTACAACAAATACAGCATTATGATGTCTAATACAAAATGCTGCCCTCCAAATTGAAATTTAGGCAAATAGATTTAAGAAACTGTGCTTCGGATTCATGTCTGCAATTCTTTAACCTCGCTCAGGGTTCATTCACTAAAGTTAGAGGTATCGCACTAGAAATATTTGTCTAGTTTTGGAGACAAAATGTCGGTATTGGTGTTCATTGCCATCTCTATTTTTGTCCTGTTCACTCTTAATTCCCTTTGATTCATACTACGGTACCAAAAAAAAAAAAGCTTGGTCAAATCTTATAAGCGAATGGTCTGCGTGGTCATGGTCGGGCATAATAGTGTTTGTTAGCTTATTACAAAAGAAGCTTCTGGCTTGTTCTTTTCTTAACAGGCTTTGACTGAATTCGCCAATTCAATATGTAACGACAAACTCCCATCTGAAACTTCCCCACAGCAACCC